TGCAGCTTTGTGCTGTAGTGAACAGTCACAGGGGTCTTTGTCTTTACCACATGGAGGTGGGTGAAAAATCCTTTACATTTCTTTTTAATTATTTTTAAGACGGAGTCTCACTCTGTCACCCAGGCTAGAATGCACTGGCACCATCTTGGCTCACTGCAACCTCCGCCTCCCAGGTTCAAGTGATTCTTCTGCCTTAGCCTCTTGAGTAGCTGGGATTACAGGTGCATGCCACCACGCCCAGCTAATTTGTTTATATTTTTAGTAGAGATGGGGTTTCACCATGTTGGTCAGCCTGGTCTAGAACTCCTGACCTCAGGTGATCCCCCTACCTCAGCCTCCCAAAGTGCTGGGATTACAGACCTGAGCCACGGCGCCCTGCCAGACCTGTTTCTAACCACCATAGTGTCAGTAGTCTCTTAAGATCACTTAGAGACCCTGTTTGATATCTGCCCCTTAGAACTCAGCAGTGCCTTGTGCAGATTCTTTAGGCAAGACCTGGCCCACAACAAGTGCTCAACAAATGTTAGGGTGGGACAGGCACAGCCCATCTTATTTATGGCTTGATCCACCTAGGGATTTAAACCCCGCCTCCCTGATTATCCCCTGAATCATGTGCCTGTAAGCATGGTCGTCTTCCTATGAATTAATTTTCCTTCCTTTAAAATACCAACTCTATTGACTTCATTAGGAGAGACCTCTGTTACATATCAGACAAATCTCACATTTATGATGCTATTCATTTTTGTTCCTTTCTAATCAGTGGTTTTAAGAAAAATGAATTTGATGCTGTTATTTCTGAACCTAAAAACAGTAGCTTCCAGTTACTTGTAGGATAAAAAGGAAAATCTGACATTCTACAAGGCCCTCCATGAAGTGTGCCTATAACTTACCTCTTCAGATTTCTTCTTAATAGCTTTTCTTCTGCCACGGAGCTCCCTTTCTGATACCTAATAGGTGTCATACTCTTCCTGATGGAGCCTTCACATGTGCAGCTTCCTCCACTTGGAACAGCAGCTGCCCATCAATCCCTATTGTATGTTTCATAGTGCCCTGTATCTGTCCACAAATGGAATTAGGGCTTGCTTCTCTAACAGAAACCACACATGCCTCATTTCATCACTGTGGTCCCACATCCTAGCTCACAGTAGAAATTCAAACAGCTGATAAATGAATTCAGGAGCTTTTAGCATTGAGTAGCCTCATGGGAATCTGAAATGGTCTATAGTGAGAGACTTGGTATTGGTGAACTAAAGAAATTTTGTATCCACACTATGCAATTTCTCATGTAGGAAGGTATAGAAATAAGTACCTTGGCTGGGCACAGTCGCAGTGGCTCACGCCTGTAATCCCAGCACTTTGATAGGTCAAAGTGGGTGGATCACCTGAGGTCAGGTGTTCCAGACCAGCCTGACCAATATAGGGAAACCCTGTCTCTACTAAAAATACAAAAATTAGCCAGGTGTGGTGGCATGCGCCTGTAAGGGGAGATTGAAACAGGAGAATTGCTTGAACCTAGGAGGTGGAGGTTGCAGATCCGAGATCGTGCCATTGCATTCCAGCCTGGGCAACAGAGCAAGAGTCCAACTCCAAATAAATAAGTTTGTCCTACTCAGCAGTCCTCTTTCAGGGGTAAAAGTGTAATATTTGGGTTTAGGGCTTCAGGGTGCCCTCAGCTCTCTTGAAAGGATGTTTCTCCAGGTTTTTGGTCTCCTGCCCTCTCAAGAATGAGAAAAAGGGGACCATGATGCAGTGTGCAGTAAATGCTAGACTTAAAAGTGTTTGTAGGGGCCGGGCGCAGTGGCTCAAGCCTGTAATCCCAGCGCTTTGGGAGGCCGAGGCAGGTGGATCACGAGGTCAAGAGATCGAGACCATCCCAGTCAACATGGTGAAACCCCGTCTCTACTAAAAATACAAAAAATTAGCTGGGCATGGTGGTGCGTGCCTATAATCCCAGCTACTCAGGAGACTGAGGCAGAATTGCCTGAACTCAGGAGGCAGAGGTTGTGGTGAGCCGAGATCGCGCCATTGCACTCCAGCCTGTGTAACAAGAGTGAAACTCCGTCTCAAAAAAAAAAAAAAGTGTTTGTAGGAAGTGATTTATTCAGTAGGAAGTGATTTATTCAGAGACAAACCAGAGAAAGAAACAGTTAGCTCTCACACTCAGTGAGAGAATCCAGAAAGATGGAATCCAGGAGAAAAAAGCAGCTTCCACACTAAGTGGAAGGGAATGGAGAGAGAAATCGAATTCAGGAGGGAAAGACAGGCCTCCACGAGTGTGTGTGGAAGGGTACTCCAGAGGGGAAATGCAGGAGAAAGATGGCTTCCACGAAGGGAGTGTTCGTGGATGGGGACCCAAACATGGAGTCCGAAGGGCTGTGGAAGAAGGGGACTTTTAACCTGGGAGGAACCTCCACCTTCTCTAAGACTCCTGGCCAACGAAAGTACCTCAGAACTTCCGCTGCAGTGATTGACTTTGTTTCTTCCTGTGCCCTCGAAATTCAAACAAACCGTTAAATCTCCCGGATGTAGAGAGATGGGAGCGGGGCATGGCGCTAGGAAGTTCTTGCCCTTAAAACTATGCCTCCGCCAGCCGGGCGCGGTGGCTCAAGCCTGTAATCCCAGCACTTTGGGAGGCTGAGGCGGGTGGATCACGAGGTCAAGAGATTGAGACCATCCTAGTCAACGTGGTGAAACCCCGTCTCTACTAAAAATATAAAACATTAGCTGGGCATGGTGGTGCGTGCCTGTAATCCCAGCTACTCAGGAGGCTGAGGCAGGAGAATTGCCTGAACCCAGGAGGCGGAGGTTGCAGTCAGGCGAGGTTGTGCCATTGCACTCCAGCCTGGGTAACAAGAGCGAAACTCCGTCTCAAAAACAACAATAACAACAAAAACTATGCCTCCTTGTGGACCCGGAAAGAGAACACATTCCCTAAAAAGGATTTTCTACAGGAAATGTCTATGCAATTCTGCAAGGCTTTTTCTCCCTCTGTGAGCAGCTTATTTTACTATCTAAACTGCTGTCCAATAGAGTAGCCACTAGCTACATATACCTAATTATAATTAAACTCAGTTTCAGTGGCATAAGCCACATTTCAAGTACTCAGTAGCCACACGTGACTAGTAGCCACAAATTGAACAGCGCAGATATGGAATACTTCCATCATTGCTAGAAGTGTTGTGCAGTGATGATGTCAAACTCTTTTTGCAGAAAATCTAATTTGTTTTCTTATTCTGACAATGAGATAAAATCTATCAAAATATGCTTATTATTCATTTTTTGGAGACAGAATCTGGTTCTGTCACCCAGGCTGCAGTGCAGTGGCAAGATTTCAGCTCACTGTAACCTCCGCCTCCTGGGTTTAAGCGATTCTCATGCCTCACCCTCCCGAGTAGCTGGGATTACAGGCACGCACCACCATGCCAGACTAAGTTTTTGTATTTTTTGTACAGATGGGGGTTTTGCCATGTTGCCCAAGCTGGAGTTGAACTCCTGAATCAGTCTGCCTGCCTCAGCCTCCCAAAGTGTTAGGATTACAGGCATGAGCCATGTGTCCAACATGTTAAACTTCAGTGTTAAATTGGCTGAAATATAGCACAGAACCACCAGAGATTTTGGTGAGGCCAGCAAAATCTGCAATTTTTTTTTTCTTGGCTGTGCATAGTTGCCTTGCAGCTCACAAGGAAATCCCAGCATTTTTGTCTTGTTTTCCCTTTTGGAAAACACAGTCTTGCCTCCCTGGGGAATACTAAAGCTAACATAAGCCTTATGTACTTAACCACTGGTTGGAATAGTGCGCATGGACAGGTTAACTTCTGTGTATTTGTCAGTCCACTTGCCTAAGAAGTAAGGGAAAACTTTGCTTCACCTGTCAAGAATGTACGAGTTTTGCTCTTGTTGCTCTAGCTGGAGTACAATGGCACGATCTTGGCTCACTGCCATCTTCACCTCCTAGGTTCAAGTGATTCTCCTGCCTCAGTCTATCGAGTAGCTGGGATTATAGTCGAGCACCACCATGCCCAGCTTTTTTTTGTGTGTGTATTTTTAGTAGACAGGGTTTCTCCATGTTAGTCAGGTTGGTCTCAACCTCCTGACCTCAGGTGATCCTCCCACCTCAGCCTCCCAAAGTGTTGGGATTACAGGCATGAGCCACTGCACCTAGCCTCAGTATTATTAAGTACATGAATACAAATTGAGTTAATGTGATAGGTCCTAGGAGAGAATCTAGCTTAGTCTTTTTCTGATGGAGGGATTACTCCAAGAACTGCTACCCTGGTTCTGCTAGCCTTTAAACTGGTTTAAGAGCATCTCTGGGCTGGGCGCAATGGCTCATGCCTATAATCCCAGCAGTTTGGGAGACGAAGGCAGGCAGATCACAAGGTCAAGAGATTCAGACCATACTAGCCAACATGGTGAAACTGTCTCTACTAAAAATACAAAAATTAGCCAAGTGTGGTGGTGCATGGTGGGGGGTGGGTGGGTGGGTTTTGTTGTTTTGAGATGGAGTCTTACTCCTGTCGCCAGGCTAGAGTGCAATGGCACAAAAACTCAGCTCACTGCAACCTCCGCTTCCCAGATTCAAGCGATTCTCCTGTCTCAGCCTCCCAAGTAGCTGAGACTACAGGCAGCATTTCACCATGTTGGTCAGGCTGGTCTCGAATTCCTTGACCTCACCAGATCCACCTACCTCGGACTCCCAAAGTGCTGGGATTACAGGCATGAGCCACCAGACCCAGCCAGCCAACTAATTTTTTATTTTTAGTAGAGACAGGGTTTCAACATGTTGCCTAGGCTGGTCTTCAACTTCTTCAGTGGGCTTAAGTGATCCACCCACCTCAGCTTCCAAAAGTGCTAAGATTACAGGTGTTGGCCACCATGCCCAGCCTTAAATCCTTCCTACTATGTCCAAATTTCAGACCTCTATTAGTTTGAATTTTGTAGCTTAAGAACTAAGAAAGAGTCAAAAGTGGTAAATACCAATCACACAAACACAAAAAGATAGTGTTAGAAATGTTTATTTGTCAAAAAATTTTAAAAAAGGGAACGAGTGGAGTAAAACAAGGCTAAATTTCAGCTAATGCTGTACCACGATCACAGGTCAGACAATAAAAAACAAAACAAAACAAAACAAAATCCCCAATGGTCCTACCAATTTCAGAAGATTTAACTTCAATGTTAGAGTCCAGAGCTAACAGAGGAGAGTAAAAGGCTGCTTGCCACTACATGGTCATTTTAAAGGGAAAGGAGATGCTGCAGGTAGACAGGGAGAAGGATTCAACTCCTAGGGAAAGCAAGATAAGAGGGGTTCCACTGCACAGGAAAAAGGGGATGCCAGCATAATCCTTACCTAGGGCTGCTCAGAGCCTGAGAATATAAGGAACAGAGTGAAAGGCTACAGAGACTAGTATCAGGAGGAAAGAAAAGTCAACTTAGAAGAATTAAGAAAGAAAACATAGTTGGTCACAAACTCCTTTTGTTTACTGAAACATGAAGCAATGGAAACATCCCGGCAAAGGGGACCGCGCGGAGCAAGTTCTCATATATGACCGCAGCCCGAGGGTTCAGTCCGCAATTATCCTACCTGAAAGAGAGCACAACACAAGAGGCTTACACAATGCCTGGAGAGCAGCCTGGCTCCGAGTACAAGGGCCCTGGGTCACGTCCTGTATTGGGGGAGGGGGGGGACAAAGAAGAAAACAAAACCAAGTCAGACTGGATCTAACTCACATCCCATGTAATTACCTAGGAGTCTAATAGCTATATATAGGAATCTATTTATGGGTACATATATAGGACAAGATGCAATCTAGCTGAAGAATGTGTTGGTGATAAATCTTTCTTATCCACCTTTTAGGCAAGATAACCCCTGTGACAGAAGTCTACTGTTGCTGCAACAAAGGGCATATATACATTATCAAGAACTGCAATTTAATTTTGGGGTCCAGGAAAACAGAAGATGTTGAGATGTCTTATGTGGCCAACTGCACTATTCTAAATGTTTTGTTTTAATCTTTCACAGTAAACAAGCTTTCAGAAATGATGGTCACAAGGGTAGGGTATCAAGGAGCAGCCATTCACCCGATTCCAACACACCTACATGTCAGCACACTCACGGAGTTAGAGTCATAGTTCCAGTAGTTCCCCTAATTGACCAAATCTCCCTTGCCAAATCAAAAGAAGAAATCACTCCTAGAATTCTCTAATTCTTCTACTGATGATGGGAACTCCAGACACCAATGGCTGGGGGAAAAAAAAAGTTAACTCACACCAAGTTCCTCTACTTATTACAGACAAAGGGCCAAATCTTGGTCTTGATCTGTGCCAATCGACTTCAAAAGTTGTGACGTTCTTGGATCAGTTCTGCTAGGGTGAGACCCGAATTTGGATCCCCAACAGTTCTGGAGTATTTCATCCTGGCAGCCTCATTAACATCAGGCTCCTGGGACTGCAACCAACTCAGGGTTATTCAGTCCATTTGAGGTTCACACCTGGAAGGTAAGTTTCTTTAAAAGTCATCACTAAAAAGAGGTTAGTTGAACAACCACTGCTTGCAGTCAAAATTCATTTAAAAATGTCCTAGCAATACCTTTTGAAGACCACAATATATGAATTTAATATTTAACTTTGAAACACCCTTGAGAGAAACAGGTTATCTGATAGATTTATACCAGCTTACTTCAGAGGCATATCCCACCTCATACTAGATCCAGCTGCATTAAAAGTAAAAATTAATGGCAAATTACAGATTTTAAGATCACTTCACACACGCAAACACAGACTTGCTGCACAGTGGTCTCGAGATCTCAAGCCTTGGTGACATGCATATAGGGTACAACTTATTACAGGTTGTACCATATTTGCTTCTCAAGTCACATAAAAGAGCAAAGTCTACGGCTTTGTTTTTTAATTTCTTTTCTTTTTTTTTTTTGAGATGGAGTCTTGCTCTGTCACCCAGGCTGGAGTGCAGTGGTGCAATCTTGGCTCACTGCAACCTCCACCTCCCAGGTTCAAGCAATTCTCTTGTCTCAACCTCTCAAGTAGCTGGGACTACAGGCGCCCAACACCACGCCTGGCTAATTTTTGGGGCTTTCACCATATTGGTCAGGCTGGTCTCAAACTCCTGACCTTAGGTGATCCGCCCGCCTCCACCTCCCATAGTGCTGGGATTACAGGCACTGAGCCACCATGCCTGGCGTTTTTTTCTTCATTTTCTTAGAGAGAGGAACCACTCTGTTGCCCAGGCTGGAGTGCAGTGGCTAACTGCAGCCTCAAACTCCTGGGCTTAAGGGATTTTAAGCAGTTTGCTAATAAAACTGCTCCTGGGCAGCAGTTTTATTAGCAAACTACTCAGCCTTAGCCTCCTGAGTAGCTGGGGCTATAGGCATGAGCCACTGCACACAGCTGCTTTGCTGTGTTCTACATTTATTGCCAAATTGATAAGTTAGCAACACTAGAAACTCAGTAGTAACTCACTTTAACCTTGCTACTGGGATTCAAGTGATGCACAATTTCAAGGTACAAAGAAAACCATGAGAGTATAAAGTTGTCATGATGCCATTTCCACTCAGATGAAAAGATTTATCCATCTTTAGATACTCAAAATTGCCATTCTAATACTTTTCGTACACATTTCCTGATGTAGGAAACAGTAAAATTTTATAGTCCTATGACATTGGCTTTCATCACCTATGCAATTTTCTACACATCTGAAAATTATCAGTTTATATAATTCCTTAAATGTTCCTCACTTCAACCACAAAAATTGCTGGAAGAAATGGGAAGCATCAAGGCCGGGCGCGGTGGCTCAAGCCTGTAATCTTAGCACTTTGGGAGGCCGAGGCGGGTGGATCACAAGGTCGAGAGATCGAGACCAACCTGGTCAACATGGTGAAACCCCGTCTCTACTAGAAATACAAAAAATTAGCTGGGCATGGTGGCGCATGCCTGTAATCCCAGCTACTCAGGAGGCTGAGGCAGGAGAATTGCCTGAACCCAGGAGGCGGAGGTTGCGGTGAGCCGAGATCGCGCCATTGCACTCCAGCCTGGGTAACAAGAGCGAAACTCCCGTCTCAAAAAAAAAAAGAAATGGGAAGCATCAGGGTCTAAATGACAGCCTCACAGGCTGTGAAGAAACAGGGCTTAAGTGCCCATATAGAACAAGATACTATAGATTACTAAACTCCATGAGACTTTGAAGTAAATGTCTTAGAAGTAAACATTTGAAATTTATAGGACTTATTCTGGCATATAGGTATGTTAGAAGAGTCCTCTGAGAAAAGGATGATGACCTAAGAAGTAAGTTTGTTTTTAAAAAAAAAAAAAAAAAAAAAAGCCAGGTGCAGTGGCTCCCAGCAGTTTGGGAGGCCGAGGCAGGTGGATCAACTCTGGTTGGGAGTTCAAGACCAAAATTAGCTGGGCGTGGTGGCACGTGCCTATAATCCCAGCTACTCAGGAGGCGGAGACTGCAGTGAGCCGAGATTGTGCCACTGCCCTCCAGCCTGGGCAACAAGAGCATGACTCTGTCTCAAAAGAAAAAAAAAAAAGGGAGAGACCATTTCTCAGGCCGGAATACAGTGGTGTGATCATAGCTCACCGCAGCGTTTTTTTTTTTCTTCCTGAAACAAGAGTCTTGCTCTGTCACCCAGGTTGGAGTGCAGTTATGAGATCTTGGCTCAATGCAACCTCCACCTCCCAGGTTCAAGCAATTCTCCTACCTCAGCCTCTTTAGCAGCTGCATCTATAGGCATGCACCACCACCACACCCAGCTTATTTTTGTATTTTTAGTAGAGACAGGGTTTCAGCATGTTGGCCAGGATGGTCTCGATCTCCTGACCTCGTGATCTGCCTGCCTTGGCCTCCCAAAGTGTTGGGATTACAGGTGTGAGCCACCATGCCCAGCCTGCAGCCTCTTAAAACTCTTGGGCTCAAGCAATCCTTCCAACCTCAGCATTCTGAGTAGCTGGGATCACAGGTACCCCCGTTACACCCTGCTAATTTAACTTTTCTTTGTAGAGACAGGATCTTGCTATGTTGCCTAGGCTGGTCTTGAACTCCTGGGCTCAAGTGATCCTCCGCCTCAGCCTCCCACTGTTGGGATTACAGGTGTGAACCACTGCCTCTGGCCTCAAAGAGCAGTTTTATTAGCAAACTAGAATCCTAAAATAATAGTTAAAATTCTCACTGTGATAATCATTACTAACCCCTGAACCTGTACCCTTCAGCGTACCACTGTAGTACTTCTGTAGTAGAGAGAGGATGGGGTTTGGAATCAGGCCTGAGTTTGAATTCTAACTCTACCTTTCATTTACCAAACAACTGGGCAAAGTAAACCTCTCTGAGCCTTAGTTCCTTTCTCCATAAAAGAATAAAACCTTTCAGTCTTACTGTATAGTTGATATAAACAGTGTACATATGTTAGATCTCTTAATTGTTTTTCTGTAACCAAATATTGCAACTGATTAAAGAATGTTCTAACAAATTGAATTTGTTGTTATCTCAGAAGGAACAAGTTGGAGTCATATACTAACAGCTTGACAGGCCAAATGGAACTTAAGGCCTAAGCTAGAGAAACATTGAAGACTAACATGTAATTTGCACCTTTTTTGGGTACTGTCTGGACAGCAAACAGGCGGCTCTAACCTCCTCTATGAAGCATGGGTCTCTTGCAAGGGAACTAAATAGAATCTCTTAACCATACCCACCCCTCTCTCACCTCCAGTTTTTAAAAGGCTGAGTACCGGGCTCGGTCGACATACTGCTCCCGTTCATACCGGGCCATGTCATACAGAGAATTCCGTGTAGCTGCTGAAGCCTGAGATAACTCACTCTCTGGCCCATAACCGTAGCCCTCTCCAACTGTGGGGAGCATGGCTGCAGCACGACGCAGTGGGCTCCTGTCCCTTCCATAATAAGAGGAAGTGGTGGCCGCAGCAGCAGCCATAGCAGCTGAAGTGGCAGCAGTGCCAGAGTTTGGCAGTAGGTGTCTGTCGTAGGGATCAACAGAAGTAGAGTTGAGGTGGCTTGTCACAGTTGTACTTTGGACTTGAGGCAGATGGGACATGGTCTGCTCTGCGTAGTTGTATGCAGAAGCTGCTGCTGCTGCTGCTACTGCCTCATAAGAGCGGACCCGGTATCGCTTATAGTAATCGAGTGCTCCGTATGCATCGTTGTAATACATGGATTCCCCATAGCCCATGGTGTAAGGTGTGCGAACTGCTCCATACTGTTCATTATACTGTTCAGTAAAGTCTGCCACACGACCTGTACGATCTACTGGACACTCTTTGGACCAGTGCCCTTCTTTCCCACAGCGATAGCAGCCACTCTGGTCTCCCATCCCAGGGGCAGTCCGAAGCCGGCTTGTGGACAACTGCACGTGCATTCTTTTGCCTTGAAGAAATAGATGTAAGAAGACTTTATTGCAACTCATTTTCTTTTTCCTCCCCAAATGAAAGTAAATTAGTTATCATAAGCCCCCCCCCCCCCAACACACATACTCCTGTGACCCTATTTCAGCAACCTCCTTTTTAAAAAAAAACAAAAAAACAAACTCTTTGGTTTCTCCATGATGGCCAGGCTAGTCTTGAACTCCTGACCTCAGGTGATCCACCAACCTCGGCCTCCCAAAGTGCTAGGATTACAGGCATAAGCCACCGCACTCAGCTCAGCAACCTCCTTTAAAAAGTAGTTGAAGTTTTGTTTTGTTTTTTCCTTTTTGAGACAGTTTAGCTCTTGTTGCCCAGGCTGGAGTGCAGTGGCACAATCTCGGCTCACTGCAACCTCTGCCTCTTCAGGTTCAAGCAATTCTCCTGCCTCAGCCTCCTGAGTAGCTGGGATTACAGGTGTGTGCCACCATGCCTGGCTAATTTTGTATTTTTAGTAAAGGGGTTTCTCCATGTTGGTCAGGCTGGTCTCGAACTCCCAACCTCAGGTGATCCGCCCGCCTCAGCCTCCCAAAGTGCTGGGATTACAGGCGTGAGTCACTGTGCCCGGCCAGTGGTTGAAGTTTTTTTCTTTTCTTTTTTTTTTTTTTTCAGTTGTTGAAGTTTTAATACAAATGAGAGCTAGAAAACTTGATTCTGCAGAGACCAGTCAATACTTTCTACTTAGGCCAGGAGTAGACCAGACTCCCTCCTGCTTCTGTCTCCACAACTTTCCTCTTTCCCCTCAAACAGAAACATTGGAAAAGTCTTCTCACTTCTAAGACTATTACTCATAACGATTCAAAATCAAATAACCAACAAATCAAATAACCAACAAAACCTCAGTTATGCCAAATTTGGAAGGCATCTTGTTCATCTCTCACTGATAGAGGATCAGGTAGGCATGAGCATTTATTGCTTAAAAACCACATCAATCATCCGTCCATCTTGTTTCCTCCAGCTATTTTTGTAGATGTCACCAGAAGGCTCCCAATCATGGGTATATAAACCATACCTAGTTGGTCAACTGCTTCATCTCTAGTATCTCTGGGAGTTTTAAGACCTTCCAGATTTCAACTCACCCTCACTCACCCACCCCAAAGCTACTGTGGAAAACTATCTGACCAAGGTCTCTCAACAAGAATAATCAGATTTTGAAACAGTACTTGTTTCTTAGGAACAGTGTGTTCACATGTAATGAAATAATTGGCATTTCATCCAGCAATGTAACTTACAATTCTTTATAGGGATTAACAACTAGTTAGAAAAATGCAGCATTGGCCAGGCACTTTGGGAGGCTGAGGCAGGCGGATCATTTGTGGTCAGGAGTTCGAGATCAGCCTGACCAACATGGAGAAACTCTAAACATAAAATCAGCCAGGTGTGGTGGCACATGCCTGTAATCCCAGCTACTCCAGAGGCTGAGACAGGAAAATTGCTTGAACCCAGGAGGTAGAGGTTGCGGTGAGCTGAGATAGCGCCATTTCACTCCAGGCTGGGCAACAAGAGTGAGACTGTCTCAAAAAAAAAAAAAAAAAAAAAAAAAAAAGAAAGAAAAGTGCGGCATTTGCCTAAAGGCCTCTAGGAGCTCATACAAATGGGCCACATCCATTTCCACTTCCAAAAAATGACCAGCACTGAGGAACCTGAGAGAGGAGAACAATCTGCCCAGGGATTCTGAACCACCAAACCCAGGGACCCTCACTCATGACAGCATCTGAAGTCTTTAAAAGCAGTTAAATGAGTATTCCTGGCAGTATTTTGAAGTCTTTAAAAGCAGTTAAATGAGTATTCCTGGCAGTATTTAGTCCCAGGTTGACTCTCCTGGAGCTCAAGTCAGTGCTTTTCAAACTGTAGCCAAAAGAAAATGCACAGGAGGCTGGGGCAGGAGAATCACTTGAATATGGGAGGTGGATGTTGCAGTGAGTGAAGATTGCCCCAATGCACTCTAGCCTGAGTAACAGTGAAAGACTCCGTCTCAAAAAACAATACTAGGCCGGGCGCGGTGGCTCAAGCCTGTAATCCCAGCACTTTGGGAGGCCGAGGCGGGTGGATCACAAGGTCAAGAGATCGAGACCATCCTGGTCAACATGGTGAAACCCTGTCTCTACTAAAAATACAAAAAATTAGCTGGGCATGGTGGCACGTGCCTGTAATCCCAGCTACTCAGGAGGCTGAGGCAGGAGAATTGCCTGAACCCAGGAGGCGGAGGTTGCGGTGAGCCGAGATCGCGCCATTGCACTCCAGCCTGGGTAACAAGAGCGAAACTCCGTCTCAAAAAAAATAAATTAAAAAAAAAAAATACTAATAATAATTAAAAATGCAGTCAGCACAGATGCAGAGAACAGGGGCTTCTCATTACTCTTAAGGGCTGCTCAGAACAAATCCCCCCTCCATGATGAGCAAGTTGCTCTCTTTAACAAACCTTGTTCTGAATGCAGTTACATGAGAGGAAGCCTTGTGCTCCACCATCCTGTAGGAAAACAGCCCTATTCAGGATGGCAGCCAGAACAGTGCCATGCATTGACCCTGAGAGGGGAGCGGGTTAGTGCAGTAATACCATTTCAGTCAAATTTGTCTTGCCCAATGTCCAAGAGTTCTATCACTCCAGTTTCTAGAAGAAACAAAAGTGCAGGCTTTATACCTCCAGCTGCTAGCAGACAGGCAACATCCACTATTACCACTGATAGAGTCAGCAGATACCAAATGGCACTAAATCTCAAAGCATTTTGCCATCTTCAGAGATTTAAATACTTCTAATTCTTAGAAGGGCCACAATGCTAACTATGCTTTGAACAGAAACACAGATTTCTGCCACAATTTATATCTCAATTGCAGAGTTCCCTATAGTTTAGCGCAGGTGTCCCCAAACTGCGGCCCCCTGAGGCCCTTTATCCGGCCCCCTGCCGCACTTCAGGAAGGGGCACCTCTTTCACTAGTGGTCAGTGAGAGGAGCACAATATGTAGCAGCCCTCCAACGGTCTGAGGGACAGCGAACTGGCCCCCTGTGTAAAAAGTTTGGGGACGCCTGGTTTAGACTAAAGGATTATAAATGACTTTCAAATATACATGGTGACATTCAGCTATGTGACAGACACAAACTATGCTCCAATTGTGAAGTCAGAGTGACGATGACAATCTAAAAAGGAGTCAATCCAGACGCTTAAAAGTAACATTTTTAACAAAAAATTTTTTTTTTCTTTTTTTTTTTTTTTTAGACGGAGTTTCGCTCTTGTTACCCAGGCTGGAGTGCAATGGCATGATCTTGGCTCACCGCAACCTCTGCCTCCTGGGTTCAAGCAATTCTCCTGCCTCAGCCTCCTGAGTAGCTGGGATTACAGGCACATGCCACCATGCCCAGCTAATTTTTTGTATTTTTAGTAGAGATGGGGTTTCACCATGTTGACCAGAATGGTCTCGATCTCTTGACCTCGTGATCCACCCGCCTCGGCCTCCCAAAGTGCTGGGATTACAGGCTTGAGCCATGTAAGATGGCAAATTGTGTTTAAAAGCGCCCAGCTTTTAAACAAAAAATTTTCAATTAAATTTGCACTTTACTTTTATAGATTCTGGGTCCTGTTTTGAGAAACAAAACCCAGCAATTTTACCCTGTTTTTAAACTAAATCCAATCTTCATTCCTGCTTTTATTTAGGGGGTGGGAACTGTAGTTTATCTGTGGCAAAAATTACCTGTGTAGTCATGAAAAGGATGCAGGTATCATTTTTTTAAACCTAGAAGTAAAGAAAAAAAAATCTATAATGGGAGCAATAGGTTAAAAAAAATTTTTCAAACCAGTTTCTCCAAGCTGGGTGCGGTGGCTCTTACCTGTAATCCCAGCACTTCGGGAGGCCAAGATGGGTCAATCACCTGAGGCCAGGAGTTCGAGACCAGCCTGGCCAACATGGCAAAACCCCATCTCTACTGACAAAATACAAAACATTAGCTGGACATGGTGGCGCATGTCTGCAGTCCCAGCTACTCAGGAGGCTGAGGCACATGAATTGCTTGAACCCGGGAGATGGAGGCTGCAGTGAGCTAAAATTGTGCCACTGCACTCCACCCTTGGCAACAGAGCAAGACAAGGCCGGGCGCGGCAGCTCATGCCTGTAATCCCAGCACTTTGGGAGGCCGAGGTGGGTGGATTACCAGGTCAAGAGATCCAGACCATCCTGGCCAACATGGTGAAACCCCATCTCTATGAAAAAGTTAGCCGGGGCCGGGCGCAGTGGCTCAAGCCTGTAATCCTAGCACTTTGGGAGGCCGAGGCAGGTGGATCACGAGGTCAAGAGATCGAGACCATCCTGGTCAACATGGTGAAACCCCGTCTCTACTAAAAATACAAAACATTAGGCCGGGCGCGGTGGCTCAAGCCTATAATCCCAGCACTTTGGGAGGCCAAGGCGGGTGGATCACAAGGTCGAGAGATCGAGACCAACCTGGTCAACATGGTGAAACCCCGTCTCTACTAAAAATACAAAAAATTAGCTGGGCATGGTAGCGTGTGCCTGTAATCCCAGCTACTCAGGAGGCTGAGGCAGGAGAATTGCCTGAACCCAGGAGGCGGAGGTTGCGGTGAGCCGAGATCGCGCCATTACACTCCAGCCTGGGTAACAAGAGCGAAACTCTGTCTCAAAAAAAAAAAAAAAAAAACAAAAAAAACAACAAAACATTAGCTGGGCTTGGTGGCACATGCCTGTAATCCCAGCTGCTCAGGAGGCTGAGGCAGGAGAATTGCCTGAACGCAGGAGGCGGAGGTTGCGGTGAGCCGAGATTGCGCCATTGCACTCCAGCCTGGGTAACAAGAGCGAAAACTCTGTCTCAAAACAAACAAACAAACAAAAAACGTCAGCCGGGCGTGGTGACACGCACCTGTGGTCCCAGCTACTTCGGGAAGCTGAGGTGGAAGAATCGCTTGAACCCAGAAGGCAGAGGTTGCAGTGAGCCAAGATTGCGCCACTGCACTCCAG